CTGATCCCGGCCTCCTCTGATCCTGGCCTCCTCTGATCCTGGCCCCTCTCTGATCCCGGCCCTTCTCTGATCCCGATCGCGGCCTCCTTTGATCCCGGCCCTCCATTGATCCCTTCCCCGCTCTGCTTCCAGCCCTCCTCTGCTCCCAGCCCTCCTCTGATCCCGGTCCTTCTCTGATCCCGGCCTCCTCTGATCCTGGCCCTCCTCTGATCCTGGCCCCTCTCTGATCCCGGCCCTTCTCTGATCCCGGCCTCCTCTGATCCTGGCCCCTCTCTGATCCCGGCCCTTCTCTGAAGGCTGAACTATTGGCCAGGCTGGGGGAAGTTTACCTGGAGGGTGAGCCTGGAGCTACGTACCCCTGTGACCTGCTCCAAAATGGCTGCACCCTAAGATACTGACCCCACTAATATTATGGAGCCGGTCACCCTGAACTGTTCTGGTCGTCATCATTCCAAGGAACTGCATTGTTGGTGGAGCAGGCTAAACCCCCGAACCCTGGATGAGATGGCTGCTGCTGTAGAACAATACAGCTGTACAGAGGACCTCTTAGGGGCCTTTTATGAAAAAGAGACCAGAACAAAGAGACGCACCCCAGCTCAGGCGTCAGCGTAGGACTGCAGTCCTCCAAGGGGCGTAATACTCCCGCCAAAAGCACCCGTCCACTTAACCCACTGGAGTACTGGCAAGGCGATAGAGATAGGGGGTCATTGCTGGACCTGCCACCAACTGGGTCATCCAGTGGCACAAAAGAGACAGTCCATTGACTTGAGCTGATGATACTCCACAGTATATATGTGTATGCAGCATATACTGCTAGAAGAGTGGTGGTGGGTGTAGTAGTCAATAATCCTGCTGGATGGACTTCTACTGACCATGCCGGGTTCTAAATATCTCATAATGATGAACAGTCTGGAGAAGTCCATCCGGCAGGATTATTCTCTGCGATTTATCTCTCACTAATACTGAGGCCCTCAGTCCTTTTGTTGGGGAGTTGGACAACCATTAGATACAGAGTTATGGTGCTGGTTAGTTTGTTTGCACTTGTTGGGAATGTCATTACCCTTCTCCAAACAGGAAAATCGGAAACCTGGAGAACACATGGGTGTCATCTGTGTGGACAGAGAGGTGAAGGACTATTCCATGGTGTGTACCCCTGTCCACCCCACTGAGAACTGATTCAGTAAAGGGTGGGCTGATGCTGGGGTTACAACATGACCTCTTGATGGGACAATACACCATATTCTGGAGCTCATATGGACAAAAGTCAGAGGCCTCCAGTAATAGGGAGGATCCTTCTAAAGAGATAACTAATGCCACAAATTAGGAATGAGGTTGAGGTTGTCAGAAGAAATGTGAAGCTGCAGAGACTGACCCTGGTCCCCTGGAAGGGGGTCTCTCTGGAAAATGTTTTTAGCGCTCAGACCAGGGACCCCACTGTGTTCCTCACCAGATACCAGGTCATGGTTCTAAATGGTGAGCCGAAGAAACCAGGGGCTATGAATCACAATCTGTTCTACAGAGTCACTAAAGTGTATGACGACTGGCAGTACCCCTGGTGATGACTGGAGGTACTTCTGGTGAAGACTGGAGGTACTTCTGGTGATGACTGGTAGTAGCCCTGGTGATGACTGGAGGTACTTCTGGTGAAGACTGGAGGTACTTCTGGTGATGACTGGTAGTAGCCCTGGTGATGACTTGAGGTACTTCTGGTGAAGACTAGTGGTATGTCTGGTGATGACATCTACGGTAACTCAGCCTTTTAGACACACAGTGGATCGTGTACTGGGGGGTCATCCTGGGCTGCTAAACCTCAAGAACGGGTTCTGCAATATTCTTATTGATCCGAAGTATACTGAGAAATCAAGAACTTCTTTGGGTCCTATCAAACATTTCAAATCAAGGTTTTCCGGGATGGTCATGGCATACTGTATGTGATGCTCATCATCAGGGAGGATTTACGGGATCTTGTGACACCAATCTCTCTGACAGTCTCTTACAAGACTCATCCCTCTCATTGATAGTCTCTTCTACCAACCTGATACCTGAACCTGGACAGCTCTGCTTTGTGTTGTGGACATCACTCCTGCCATGATGGGGCCGGTCTACACAGGTGTTCATGTCACACGCAGCCTTTTCCATTGACCACATCACTGCTCCAGAGAGGAGGATGTCAGAGAAGGATGGAGAACGCTGCGTCTCACCTGCTTTTCCTGGACTCCAGACTCCTGAATATGACCTTCTGATGGAGAAGAAACCCAACTCATGGTGGGTGAGACTCAGCATGCCATCTACTTCACTGGAATCTGATGACCCGCATCTGACGTATCAAACCTGTCATATGAAGGAAAACATCATCTGTGCGCAGGTCTGAGGGTTGCTGGGACGCACTCTGTTGCTCGGGTTACACACATAGGAGGGTTTAGCACCCAAGTGATGGGTGGGGTTCAGGTAGAGGTGTGTCCTCCAAACTCATCTTCAACTTTACCTTTGAAGTCCAGATGTCCTGTAGCCCAATGAGTTGTAGACCAGATCATTCCCCACCTTCCAGGAGACATGGGACACCCGAGCTCATCTCTAACATCTAATGATAGTAAATAGGGTCCTGCAGAGGAGCCTTCCATGCCATCCGGGAGACGGGAAGGACCATGGCCTCATATGTTCTTAGCATGTTGGCTTCATTGGAGGGAAGTCATGATGGACTGAAGGAGGGTATGGGCTGGGCGGAGGCAGCCAATGAGGAGAGACTTTTTATAAATAACATTTCTGGTTGTCCCCGAAGGCGTCTCAGTGGTGGGAATACATGAAAGGATCGGGAATGACTCAGAAGTCGGTCTGGTTGTGTTTTTCATCTCCTAATTACTTGTTTTCTGTCTGTTGCTGACCCCCCCTCCCCTCCCCCACACACAGAACCGCGTTTTCTCCGCCTCCATAAAGCCGAGTGAAGGAATCTTCTGTATCTTCCAGATAATTAGCACAACCTCTCGTCTGTGATTTCATCAGAACGCGGCATCTTCACCGTCCTCCGCCGCCACCTAATCAGCACAATTCTGGGGGACCGGCGCTAATTACCGCTCTCCCCGACGAATGGCGCCGCCATTCATTGGCAACAAAATGTCTGTTTTTAGATTGGTTTGTAAATGGAGTTTGATGAGATGGCGGTGGATGGCGGTCCTGCCAGTCGCTCGTCCTGTGTGGTGGGATCCTCCAGTAGATGGACAGTGGAGGGTTTGGGGCCCATTTATAATTCTGCGTTACACATGAAGGCCGCCATTATTTACAACACATCACAATGTCCTGAAAATCAGGCGTCACAAAGTTTGTAACGCGCGCGACTCCTATGTGCAATGCAGAGCGCTACAGCATACGTGCAAAACGAGCGCCACTGCAACCCCTGAACGCAGGTCACATGTTATAGCAAAGCAATCAACTATATGGACCCCTAAAAAGATAACCCCCCAATAATCACTGAAAGCCCAACAATGGTTTGTCTGCTTCTTCAGCTTTTCTCTCCTGAAGGACGGCGCCATCTTTGATCAGGCCTCATCCAGGGGCAGAATCATTATGTTGTCCATTGGGGTCCTCTGAGTCAGTGGAGCTCTCAGAGTGTCCGGGACAGGGATCCTTTACACTCCCGTCAGGTATTTACACTGACTGAGCCCCAGAGTGCCCCCCTACCCCGGGCCCGGAGCACCCCCTCTCCCCAGGCCCCAGAGTACCCCCCTTCTCGGAGTCCTGGAGCACCCCCCTACCCCGGGCCCAGAGCTCACTCCTACCCAGGCCCCAGAGTGCCCCCCTACCCCGGGCCCAGAGCACCCCCCTACCTCAGGCCTGGAGCACCCCCCTCCCCGGGCCCCAGAGTGCCCCCTTCCCGGAGCCCTGGAGCCCCCCCCCCCCCCTACCTCGGGCCCGGAGCACCCCCCTTCTCCGGACCATGGAGCACCCCCCTATTCTGGGACCGGAGCACCCCCTCCCTGGGCCCCAGAGTGCCCCCCTTCCCAGGGCCATGGAGTGCCACCCCTTTCTCTGGAACCATGGACCACCCTCCTACCCTGGGCCTGGAGCACCCCCCCTTCCCAGGCCCCAGAGTGCCCCCCTACCCCGGGCCCGGAGCACCCCCCCCCCCCCAGGCCCCAGAGTGCCCTCCTGCCCCGAGCCTGAAGCATACCCCCTCCCCGGGCCCCAGAGTGCCCTCCTTCCCGGGGCCCTAAAGTGCCCCCCTTTCTCAGGACCCTGGATCACCTCCGCTTCCCCTGCAAATGACATGGAGCTCCTCTACACCCCGGCAGATATATTTCACTCCCTGCCTGCTGCAACCTGCCCGTGATTAGAGGTTTATCAGCTCCCTCCCCCCACCGGTCCCGGAATAAATCACACCGCGCCGGAGAGAGATCCCGCATGATACAGGAAGAGAGGAACCGCCAGTTTATTGGCCTTTTCATCTGAAAATAAATTGGAGGTTATAAAAACCATTAGAATGGAAATAACAACAATTCTCCGATGGACCCCGGGGGGCCCCTTTACTGCAGGATGTGCAAATTGTGTGTTTAACCCCTAAAAAGGACCCCAATGAATCCCTACGGGGGGAGTGTACAGCCCCGGCCAAAGTCTGGAGAATGACACAGATATTAATATTCGCAAAGTCCGCTGCTTCCGTGTTTGTAGATCTCTTTGTCAGATGTTGACCCTTCTTTTTCCAGACCTCTGCGATTCTCCCGGCTTGCTGGCCATCCACTTCTAGGTCCACATCCTGATGGACGCCCATTCTTCCATCACCAAGGCTTGGAGTTCGTCAGACTTTGTGGGGTTTTTGTCCCCCCGCCTCTTGAGGATTGACAAGTTCTCCATGGGATGAAGGTCTGGGGAGTTTCCTGGCCATGGACCCCACATTTCCATGTTTTGTTCCCCAAACACGTCATTATGACTTTGGCCTTCTGGCACGTGCGCCATCATGTTGGAGAGGCATTGTTCCTCACCAAACTGGTCTCAGGTGGGTGGGAGAAGTCGCTCTCGGAGGAGGTTTATGGACCATTCCTCATTCATGGCGGTGTTCTAAGGCAGAATTGTGAGCGAGTCCACTGCCTTGGCTAAGAAGCAACCCCGGGGGGGGGGGAGCCAGTACACCTGTGCAAGACTGAAGGGGAGGAGCCTGTACACTTGTGCAAGACTGAAGGGGAGGAGCCTGTACACCTGTGCAAGACTGAAGGGGAGGAGCCTGTAAACCTGTGCAAGACTGAAGGGGAGGAGCCGGTACACCTGTGCAAGACTGAAGGGGAGGAGCTGGTAAACCTGTGCAAGACTGAAGGGGAGGAGCCAGTACACCTGTGCAAGACTGAAGGGGGAGGGTAGCGCAAGACTGAAGGGGAGGAGCCAGTACACTTCTGCAAGACTGAAGGGGAGGAGCATGTACACTTCTGCAAGACTGAAGGGGAGGAGCCTGTACACTTCTGCAAGACTGAAGGGAAGGAGCCAGTACACCTGTGCAAGACTGAAGAGGAGGAGCTGGTACACCTGTGCAAGACTGAAGGGGAGGAGCCTGTACAGCTGTGCAAGACTGAAGGGGAGGAGCTGGTACACCTGTGCAAGACTGAAGGGGATGAGGCGGTACACCTGTGCAAGACTGGAGGGGAGGAGCTGGTACACCTGTGCAAGACTGAAGGGGAGAGCCGATACACCTGTGCAAGACTGAAAGGGAGGAGCCGATACACCTGTAAAGAACTGAAGGGGAGGAGTCAGTACACCTGTGCAGGACTGAAGGGGAGGAGCCGGTACACCTGTTCAAGGCTGGAGGGGAGGAGCCAGTACACCTGTGCAAGACTGAAGGGGAGGAGCCAGTACACCTGTGCAAGACTGAATGGGGGAGGAGCCAGTACACCTGCAAGCAAGGGGAGGAGCCGGTACTGGAGGGACTGAGGGGAAGAGCCGGTACACCTGTGCAAGACTGAAGGGGAGGAGCCGGTACAGAGTACCAGTAAGACTGAAGGGGAGGAGCACACTGTGCAAGACTGAACGGGAGGAGCCTGGTACACCTGTGTAAGACTGAAGGGGAGAGCCGCTACACCTGTGCAAGACTGAAGGGGAGGAGCCGGTACACCTGTGCAAAACGATGAGGAAAAAACTAAAGAGGGGGATGGAGGGGGGGTATTATTATTATACAGGATTTATGGCGCCAACAGTGTGCTCAGGCTCTGTACAATATAACGGGAGACAATACAGTTCAATACAAGAGGGTTAGGAGGGCCTGATCCTGGGAGCTTACAATCTAGGAATATAACGATAAGGGGGAGGGGGGGTTAGGCCTCATTCTCTGATCTCCTCCCATAATGCAGTGTCCCTCTGGCCCCCATGCACCCCCCCCCCCCCCCCAATACACCTCCATCATGGCCTCCAATCTCAGGGACAGAATTCGGGTGATCAGACAATTCTGCAGGAACATGGCCGGCAGAGGGCGGTGGAGGAGTCTGCAGAGGAGATCAGGCGGGAAGGTGCTGAAGGATCTCATTGTGCTGAAAGACTCTGCAACCATTTCTCCTGCATTACCAGAGCGCCACATAGTGGCCACATGTGGGAACTGTCACTGTACAGAGAGAGCAACACTGCCTGCCTGCTGAACAATGCTAACTGCCTGGCCCACCTATTCATCAAATTGCTGACCTCACTGGCTGCATGCTTCTTAAAGCAAATCAGATTTTTCCTATAGGGAAACTATATACAGTTTTTGATATATCCATCAATCAGCCATAACACTTCTGTCCCGATATACAATGTATTCATGTCCCCCCAATATATATATATACTCCCCTCCCCCTCTATATACACCCATCATCCATAACATTCTGACCCCGATATACAATGTATACATGTCCCCCCAATATATATATATATACTCCCCTCCCCCTCTATATACACCCATCCGCCATAACATTCTGTCCCCGATATACAATGTATTCATGTCCCCCCCAATATATATATATACTCCCCTCCCCCTCTATATACACCCATCATCCATAACACTCTGTCCCCTGATATACAATGTATACATGTCCCCCCAATATATATATATATATACTCCCCTCCCCCTCTATATACACCCATCAGCCATAACACTCTGTCCCCTGATATACAATGTATACATGTCCCCCCAATATATATATATATACTCCCCTCCCCCCCTCTATATACACCCATCAGCCATAACACTCTGTCCCTGATATACAATGTATACATGTCCCCCCAATATATATATATACTCCCCTCCCCCTCTATATACACCCATCATCCATAACATTCTGTCCCCGATATACAATGTATACATGTCCCCCCAATATATATATATATATACTCCCCCCCCCTATATACTTCCCATCAGCCATAACACTCTGACCCCTGATATACAATGTATACATGTCCCCCCAATATATATATATATATACTCCCCTCCCCCTCTATATACTCCCCATCAGCCATAACACTCTGTCCCCTGATATACAATGTATACATGTCCCCCCAATATATATATATACTCCCCCCCCCTCTATATACACCCATCAGCCATAACATTCTGTCCCTGATATACAATGTATACATGTCCCCCCAATATATATATATACTCCCTCCCCCTCTATATACACCCATCATCCATAACACTCTGTCCCCTGATATACAATGTATATACATGTCCCCCCCAATATATATATATATACTCCCCTCCCCCTCTATATACACCCATCATCCATAACACTCTGTCCCCTGATATACAATGTATACATGTCCCCCCAATATATATATATATACTCCCCTCCCCCTCTATATACACCCATCATCCATAACACTCTGACCCCTGATATACAATGTATTCATGTCCCCCCAATATATATATATATATATATATACTCCCCTCCCCCTCTATATACACCCATCATCCATAACATCTGACCCCTGATATACAATGTATACATGTCCCCCCCCCCATTTATATATATATACTCCCCTCCCCCTCTATATACACCCATCAGCCATAACATTCTGACCCCTGATATACAATGTATACATGTCCCCCCAATATATATATATATCCCCTCCCCCTCTATATACACCATCAGCCATAACACTCTGACCCCTGATATACAATGTATACATGTCCCCCAATATATATATATAGTCCCCTCCCCCTCTATATACTCCATCATCCATAACACTCTGACCCCTGATATACAATGTATACATGTCCCCCAATATATATATATATACTCCCCTCCCCCTCTATATACACCCATCAGCCATAACATTCTGACCCCTGATATACAATGTATACATGTCCCCCCAATATATATATATATATATATATTACTCCCCTCCCCCCATCTATATACACCCATCATCCATAACATTCTGTCCCCCGATATACAATGTATACATGTCCCCCAATATATATATATATATACTCCCCTCCCCCTCTATATACACCCATCATCCATAACATTCTGTCCCCGATATACAATGTATACATGTCCCCCCAATATATATATATATATACATACATAGTCCCCTCCCCCTCTATATCCACCAATCAGCCATAACATTGATTATCTGGAGACAATGGTGGGCGGGATTATTAGGCAGCCAGTGAACATGTTGTCCCTGAAGTTGATTGCAGCTTGCTGTGTATGGGGCTGTGTAGCCGCAGGACAGTCAGGGTCTCCATGCTGACCCGTGTCTACAATGGGCACATGCTGCAGGACCACAACTCTCACAATGTGCATTAGAAGCTTCAGCCAGTCAGCCTCCTGGCTGGAGGACGTCCAGCATCATCTAGCGCTTTCCCCCCCAGCCTGACTATCCTTGGCCTCACCCCTTTTATCATTGAACTGCAGTTCTTCAATCATGAATGTTCAGCATCACATGTGGGTGGTAGCCATGCAAATACAGCCTGTTTAGGACCACCCACACTGGCTCCACCCATCAGGACATTTGAATATTTGCATAACTCCTCCCACTACTTGCATCAGGATTGATTTTGGGAGGAGTACTGGGGCAGGGTGCTTGATGTTTTCAGGAAGCTATCACCCCCTACCATGATCTGCCCTCATTGCATAGGATTGAGGATGACATCACCAGGTATAGAATTAGGGAGGAATGTTCCTTCCTCCCCTGATCCCTAGGGGGTTTTCTCTTCGGGAGAACCCCTTGCCTGGATTTTTCGGCTGGATAAGGAACGGTATCCACCAGGCCTTTGGCCAGGAGGACCAAATGGGATCCTTGCCCTGTCAGGAGCTTGCCCCGGGGGGGAGATCAGAGAACGGTCCAACCCTTTCGGGGGTAGGACAAACACACCCCTAAGTGCACGTTTTTCGACATCTGCACTTGCACTTTTTTGCGGACACTTACGGGTTTTTCGTTACAGTTCCACGTTTGCGGACTTAAAAAAAAAAAAAATAAGGTCTGGAATGAAAGCGTTATCACGCTGATGTCACGGGGGGGACCAGGAAAGCAACATATAAGCAGAATAAACTTTGTCTTGAAGCAGCTTCAGCCTCCAGTGCCTGAAACATGTCAGAGCCGTGCGATGTATTGGGGGGTGTCTGGCTCACAGACCCTTCCTCTCTCTCCATCTGCTGGAAGACATTTTATGGTAAAATCCGTATTTTAGGATATTCCTCTCTTTGCTTTATAATAACCATGTGATGCCGGCGCCCCCTATTGGACACAATGCATTATTCCCATCATTGGACTCCATTTCTCATCCTCAGCCTGTAGGTGGCGGTGCTGCTCTCAGGCCCCTCCAATGATCCCGGCGATATATATACGGCGTTTGGCGGCCTCCAGTATTTCGGTTTATGTTCCCTATACTGGCGGCCATTTGCAGAGAATACATCCCGGCCTTGTTTACGGCGCAATAAAAAAGTAACAAGCAGATAAAACCAGAAAAATATGATTTTTGTGCTTTTTTATATCAGACTGGAAGTGCTGAGAGTCAAAGCCGCGTTTAAACGTAAAATCCATACCGCGCGCCTGCGGCCGCGCCGCTCCCCGGGAGACGCACAAAGGGAAATGTACTTCAGCGATGACACATTATTAAAAGTCCCGATATATAGGAGGCCATTGTGTACAATATGAGGGTCACGGCGGAGATGGCAGGACACCCCTCCCCCACCCCACCGGGGCCCCATATTCCAGATTCTGAGCTCCAGGAACAGAGAAGATCATAAATTGTGTCTATTAGAGGAGAGAGACTTCTGCGGGGCCCACAGAGAGTGGAACCAGCATAGGGAGTGTAGGGACAATGTATGGGAATGAACCCTGAGCCGTCCATATCTGGGCATTCCATCCACATCCTCCATTGTGCGACTCCACAGTGATTGTCCTTTACTGCTCCCCGATCCATCCGACCCAATGAAAACCATACCCTCCCTGTGCGGCCGCGGGCTCTGGGACCCATTCTGTGTAATGAAAGGCAACACACTTGTGTAGAGATATAATAACATTACAAATACCTTCTCTCCCCTTTGCTATAACTGATCACATGACCTCTGTTCTCAGCTGCATAGAGAGGTGAGGGAGGAGAAACAGCAGTACACCAATCTTCCCAGTGAATTGAATGGCCAGGTGGGGGGGGGGGGGGGTGTCAGGACAAGTCTGATGATTGGAGGAGAACGGGCTAGAGAACTGACCACGCCATGCAGACTTTCCATAACTCAGGCAGCATGTGACAGAGTGATCCCCGACACTGCCTGTATAGTTCCCAGCAGGGGGCGATGTCACAGAGAGCCATGCAGGGGTCCTGTACTCTGATGTTACTCCGTCATTTCCTTTTCTCATTTCTCCACCCCGTGATCTCATTCTGTACTCCTCACATTGAATACATTTAAATAAGAGTGCAGCCAACACATTCTGGAGGCCACAATTCCCTTCATCAGGGACAAAATCCCTCTTCATCAGGGGCCAAAATCCCTCTTCAT